TAACACTTAACATTTGACGTTTTACATTTAACTCTTGCCTTGGAGGTATTTTGACTTTATCAATATCGGTATTAGGACTTTGTACATTGTATTTTTTTACATATAATCAAAGGAAACGACATTGTCGAAGAGCATTTAATATTGGCAGCGATACCATTCCACACGTGTGTGCCAACCGAGAAAATTTCAATGCCGAAATTCGATCCCGCGGCAATCTGGTTAATGCGTATATTGCGCTAACACTACTACACCCCGGCCCCCTCATATCTCCAGGCAACATTGAGGATTAATATTAGTATTGTACATTGTTATTTATTTACAATCAATTTCTTTCAGTTTATTGATTATTATTGTCTAATCACACGCTTGTTGTTTGTATTATTATATTGATGACCGAGTTGTTTATTGTATTATATCCCCCGGCAGGTTGCTAACAAATTATTACTCAGTTGAAGAAAAATATTCAGACTAAAACCGAATACAAAACGTAATAATCACATACATGCGATTTAGCCATACAATCCATACAAAGAACAGTGATATCGTCCATATCTGCCGTAAAAATGTTTTGGATCAAAGCTATGATATTTGTAGCTTTTACTGGTTCATTGATTAAAACTGGCTTAATCTATCTGAAACACCAGGTACAATTTCTCATAAGAAACAAGAACATCAACTATTAACTAACCACATTTATTGAACGGGCACTATGGTTCGCTAGCCAAGAGATCACTGTGTTCCAGCGTGATTTTCCTTGTCCACAGTAGAGTACGCAGGGTCAGGCAAGGAACAGCGTCTAGTCCTTTGGATGGGACAAAAAATGAGGTCCCGCGTACACGCTGGCTTGAACGTAAAAGAACCTTTGAAGCTCCAATTCGACGAAGAGTAGACAGAAACGCTGCTTTCAGGGCAAAATTTCCCCCATAGCATAATGCATGCCGTATACCCGTCTTCGTTAGGCTGGTTGGTTCAGAAAATGGGAAGATAAACCCATTTCATTTCATTTATTTAAAACTGTTTTGTCCAATATGTCTGTTGGATATATTAGTCAATGCAGTTTTACAAATTCAGTCATTGCGCAATCACCTGGAAAATAGCCAATAATGTTTTGTTTTCTGTTATATGTACATAAGCAGACGATACTCCAATCTTCGATCTGATATTCTGAATGCATATTTATGGACGCCTTGGATCAAAGTGATAATATCGGTGAAAAGGTAATTAAGACTATAAAATATGTAATACATCAACATGGATCTTAATAGATTTTACGAGACAAAAATAATTTCAATAGCACTTATCTTTGATTAAAAGCTGGGAGTTTTGGGGGTTTGACTAGGGACAAATTGTTAGAGGTACGTTCGCTGAGTATAACTAGGTCATCTGTTCAAACCCCTAATTCGATTTCAGCTGCTCAAATTATAGACTCAAATTACCTAATATACATTAATTATTACAGAGCGTCAGCTACTGAACCTGACGCTACTGTCCTAATGCGTGCACTACCCACATCATGTTACTAGGAAACGACCACGTTTGTCATTTTATTGGTTTGCATGTCTAATGTATAATGGGGTTACGGTCACATTTGTGGGGTTCCTTTTGAATTATCTCGATAGATATACGGTCAATCTTGTTCCAACGTTCATGTGCATTGTCAGCGATGCCACGTTGTAAGCGGCTGCGCCATGCTAGTTTCTTCGAAATGTATCTTTGTCATCTATAATAATAAAAAGATCTGGAGTATGACTATTTACCACCTATATCAATCAATCTTTCAAGAATGGTATGTCCGCCTACTAGACATTACTGAAATATAATAGTATAACAGAAATGTGTTGGTGTGTGAACTCCTTGAAAGGGAAGTAGAATGAAGTATTCTAGAAATAAACCATGTAAAAGTGATATATTTTTGTTGATATTAAATTTATGCAGTACTTCACATTCGGTGGCGCGATGCTTACTCTTCTGGAGATTGATTTATTTGATATAAATTCAATGAAACGAGGTGTAACGTCCTACTTTTCTGCACCAACCGGGATAATGAAACGGGGATACAAAATGCAATGTGCTATCAGGAAGTGTTTCCCGGACGACGACGTTATGTCTTACTTTTAATTCGGAGGGTTCTTTTGCGCTGCACGCTAACGTGTATACGGGACTTGGGGTTTTCGTATCATTCGAACGACTAGTTGCTTCTTCATGTACCACTGACATGGCAAAATCATGCGTTAGGTACGATTATACGATCAATTACAATCCTAGCTATTGACAGTAATGCCGTGGTTCGGGTGGTAACGTGTAATAATATTGCTAGAAGTTTTCCTCTTGAAATTAACTGGAGCAATATATTTCATTAATTAATATCTTTGGTGGCAAGTTATCAAATTCACATATATGTAGAATTGTACTAAAATCAACTTAGTGAGTAAGTGACAGATTACCATCTGAGTGCAGTTTCTATCAGCAGACTCACCCAACGAGTCTGGCTGAATGAGGTTTGAGAGAATGACTTTATTCTATTATGCATTGTACCATATGTAAGCAGTTATATGATATATAAAATGTAAAAACGAACTGTAGCATTGTTATTCCTGGAAAGACAAACGTCTTAAGAAAACAGTAAGAAGTAAATACACAACGTGAAGCAGAAGCAAAGACAGCTAGAGACAAATTCTAGACGATCACAAGGCTACAGAAATATGTAGTAAGAAAAGATGCATGGGTCGTACGTAGGATGTGGCGACCGGTTTTCCCACGCCCGCTCTCCACGTCTGACAGATAGGCCCATGGTGCTACATACGTGTACAAATTGTGAGACAACATTAAAGATCCCATGACTGTTGAATTTCGAAAAGTAGTAGGAGGTACCGCAACTTTCAAGGCAAAATACACTCTGTGTTACCACAGACAAGAGAACGCACCATATCACTGTCTCAAAATGACCGAATTAATGTATTGGCGACACATTAAACCCCATACCATTTCCACTTAAACAGCTTAATTATGTTCTTTGGATAATTCACGCAATTAGTTTAAATGAGTAGAACTGCTGTACGTCCGACCCTGTCAAACCCAAAGTAATCTTGTTTACTTGGACCTTGGTCACCTCTATTATAAAATGTAAATTAATATCGATTGTATAAATGCGTCGTAGAAACAAACATCAATTGGCCATTATTGTCCATTGTACTATTGTCATGACGTACATATAGGACCAAGAACATTGATTGATTTCAGGTGGTGATCTGTAAATTCTTGAGGCTGATCCTTAACTACTAGATCATGAAGTAAACAAAAAAAGGATTGATTGTTAACGTTTCCTTTAACCGGGATACACCGCCTTTTTTCAAGTACAGGCTCTGTAAACTGCAGACTTAAAGGGCAAGCACGCCTTGGTGTTTCACAAATATATCCAAATTTAAGAATTTTAAAGTGATCTGCCACCAGAATTACACCAATATAACCTAACTTTTTAGAATGTTATTTATACTTACATTGTAAAACAAATATTTGGTATCCCTGAAAAAATATAATAAAACAATGTTACACAGGGATGAAAGAGCGATTTTTATTGTAATATTGTTAATGCAATTGTGTTACTGTTTCTACCGGACTAATGGCGAATGTTGGCAGATATATTCTTTGACAATAGCTTATATAGTGTTTCCATTTAAGGTGTGTGATTCTTAATAAAAGGACAATGTCTAGCTATTGAATTTTATCATAGAAGAATAACCACTTTAGCCCACAATCAATAATAAGTATATATTGTCAGTGTTGAATTTAAGTAATATAAACGGAGTAAATGGGTCGCAAATGGTTTTTATAGTCTTAAATGTTTATGAGATAACATTTACCATTGACTATTAATATTTTTTTTATTCGTGCGATTTCTTTGCAATTTCAGTTCCTACGATTTCTAATAAATGGTGTCGTAAAACGTCGTGCTTAAAAAGCTATGATTGTTCATCCATCAGCAGTTGGAATGCACAGGGGGAATTCATCAATCCAAAAGGCGTGCTGTTTTCTTTTACAGATAAGTGCCAGACCCTAAATATAAAATATGTTTATAAAATCTAAGACTATATATTAAAAGAGTGATAAGCATCCATGGCGCTACTACCTAATGAGTTTTGTTGTTGCTCTCCTAAATGTGGCGTATGCCCGTCTTCATTAGCCCAGGTTAGGAGCAGAACAGTAGGACGTTAAACTCCATTTCATTTCATTTCATTTGCTCTCCTAAATGCCATCGGGGGGCACTGTGGCTTGGTGAGTAAGACGTTGTTTCATTGGTAGTTGGAATTCGATATAAGAGGATGCCGTAGTACCGCTGTCCGGGCTAGATTTCCCTATTAACATACTGTATGGTGTATGTCCGTCTTCATTAGCCCAGTGGAAGCAGAGCAGTAGGACGTTAAACTCCATTTCATTTCGTTTTATTTCTAAATCCTAGCCAGATATGAGAAATTACGGAAGAGAGGAAATGAAAGGGTGTTACTTTTTAAACCAGGGATACAAGGCAATGTGGATAAATTTTTATACCTATCTGACTGTCGTGAACGACGCATGGTATACTTACGCTTTCTGGAACAACTTAAGTCTGCACACAGATGGCTGCCATATTGAAAAATGAGTGTAGCTTTTGTAATCCGTTTTACATCCTTCATACACACAAAAAGTTTACATAAACTTGTTCGCTTTCATAGACAATGGAAATGGAGGCGCGGAATCAATAGTTATTTAGTGTTTTCGACTAAAATCGTCGATGTACGAATTAAAATGTCGGTCAGCAGCTTCGTGACCGTTCTCAAGCGGCGGAGTCTATTTACGGCAGACAGTATAAGTTTCGTATGTCATAGTTTGAAACTGGCGGTTGGGATATTCAAAGTACAGCTTCGAGGTGTTCGATTATTATCACAGACTTTCATGTCACTTGAGTGCTGTTGAATAAATGATATATTACATAATTGCTATCACATAAACCCAAACACATTACATTTATTTGGACGGATTTAATAGAATTAATATGTTGTTGCATTCTGTTCAAATTATTCATAATTACTAATAGAATGTTCACGCTTTTAACAAACAAATTTGTAAATTAACAAAGGAACAACAGATTCGTCATGCGTTAATTAGTACAAACATATTAATAAGTATCACAGAGTTTCTTGAGTAAGTTCAGATCAATATATGATAATTCATTTCTATAGCAGTCGACGCTTCACATATTCCTTTAACAGACATTAGAAAACGGACAAGTCAAAAAACATATCCTGGGTTGTTAACATATACATGTAACACAACCCCCCACCTATTACCGATTGACAGTACCCAAAGACATATATACGAATATTCTGGCCAATTATTCTCTTGGTTGTGATTGGGCAACAAAATAGCCTTTTGTTTAATCATAGTGCTGTGTAATTTCAGATTCTTACACAGCTCCATCCTCTGACCAAGTATATCGTATGAAAAACCATCATTCCGTTCGTTTTGTTCTAATGTTCGTCTATTAAAACAGAGAGACTGGGTAACAAAATGGCGACCATGATTGCAGTTGTCCAGACCTTCTCATTGGCCCTGGTCGTACTAATGATATATCATTAAATACACGTCTTACATCTTAGCAGTAACTGAAATTTCAACATTTCCGTCAATGTATTGAGTGTATAATATCGTTGTCATGTCTTAGAACATGCTTAATAATTGTCTTCACGGTTGATAATAGAAAACAAGGGGCGCAGTAGGTGGAACATAAGTCTTAATGTCTTACCATATATCGATTAACTACAACTTACCTTCCAAGAAATCTTTTAAGTAAATATGCGATTAAGACCCACAGATGTAACTTTTTTACTTGGCGTTTTCGTTATATTTTTATTTGAAATAAGGATGTTGCAGGATGGTACGACACAACATTAAATAGAATGAGGTTTAATGTCTTCCGTCATTTTGTGACAAAAAGGTGGTACTTCGCTTACTTCTATGGTTACAAGTGTAATGCTAGGTAGGAGAATTTTGCCCGGACACCCGTGTTTCCGTCTACTTTTTCTAAATTTTTAACTGTCAAGGACTCTTTACATGCACGCTGATGCGTATACGGGCGTACCACGGTTTTTCGACTTGCAAGCCACACTCCTGTCAAGTGGAGACCCAAAAATATCTAAGATTATTCACGGCCTATGACTGAATTAATCTTTTGTAATCTGCTTATTGCGCAAGTTCTTAAATATTTGAAAGTATAAACGTAGTATAGTAATAAAATACATAAATAGAATAAGCGTGATTATCACAATAACTAGTAACAATTGTAAAGACAAAAATATATTACATAACAATATACATCATATGTGGTTTAAATACACAACAGAAACGTAAACAAGAAATAATGGACGGAACATTAAACTGTTATAAATTCTAATAAAAGATATTATATAGTCGATAGAATAAAATCGGATATTTATTCTATTTTTTAGCAACATAATTAGTGATTATTCAGATTAAAACATAATCAGATTTTAATTAATGTCACAGAACAACAAATTAGTGATTATTCCGTTTTACACGTAATCAGATTCTTATTAATTTGACATAACAACCAATTAGTGATTATGCAGTTTTACACTTAATCATATTCTAATTGATTTGACGTAACAACCAATCATTTATTAATTAAGTTTGAGACATAATCAGATTCTAATTAATTTGACAAAACAGCCAATTAGTGATTATTAAGTTTTACACCAAATCAAATTCTAATTTAGTGATTAATTTCATGTTTACGCCTAATCAGATTCAAATAAATTTCAGATAGCAGCTAATTAAAGATAATGGACAAAATACTAAAACGCAATTATATTGGTTTTTACGCTTTTTCTTACACGTCAACTTTGATTCTATCATAGTAAATTCGGACATTTTTATAACACACTTATTGATTATTCAGACTTAGACATAATTAGATTCTAATTAACTTGACATAACAACCAATTCAATTTAAATGGGCATAATATTAAAATTCAATTACATTGCGTATTACCCTTTATAATTTCATAAATTACCTTACAGTTCTATGAATATAAAAACTATGTTTCATTTTTTGAAAGTTGAATACCGTGATGTTATGCAATCACGATGATAATTTATTTGAATCAATATTAAACGTGTAAAGTCAATGTGTCACATGTACATGAATGTAAATATCGCCGAACAGACAGACACAATGCACTTACTTCGTATCTGTTTACATATTCAATCAAAAATGGCACACACAAAATGTTACCACTGTTCTAAGTGGGAAATCAACTATACAACATCGCAAGACATGTATTATTTAAGTGAAAGGCACATTATAGAGAATGACTTAAATTCAACACATAACGTATGTTCATTAAAACACCTGATAAGCTATCTAATTATACACTCAGAATACCTAGACATTAAATATAATAATTCACAAAACCGCTGATATGACTGTTTTATTCGTGGATTAAACATGTAATGTAGCGATTCGTTACATGCGATAAATTGTTTGCGAAATCAAAGTGACCTTGTCGATGATTGTTTCAATATTACAGCAACAGAAACAGTTTGCGGAATATCGATAGCAATTAGGTTTTGGGTTAGTCTGACATAATATAACGATGGAGCGGTTAACCATATTCAGTCCATTGATTGATTTTTGTTAAGCTGCAGAACAGCGTAGTTTAAAAAATAATGTATTGGTGTGTAGTGAAATAGTTCATGTAATAAATTGCGTTTTTAATTTCAATAAAATGCACTGGTGTGTAATAGAATAAGTCTTTGTATAGGTTAAATAGTGTATTGTTGGGTAATAATGATCCATGCCACTTATTTTTATCAACTTCATATAAAAGGTTATTTTCATAAGATTCTTAAATGCTGGGTTTTTTTTAAATTATGTAATAGAATCGGTTATTTTCTTGTCATTTTTGGATCAGGAACTTGTTGGGGGCAACGCTCTTCGAAAAAAGCCTAAGGCTCCGCCAATTTAACTATGATCGACATGAAACTTCTTCACTTGCCATGATTGTTCCTTGGACAACTGCGCATCGATTGACGGACTTCATTTGTTATATGACGTCACAATTACAAGATGGTGGCAACAAACTCATGTTTTGTTCCTGGTCCATAGCATGTACGTACTTGTTTTTATAATTAGAGATATTATGTTAAATATTGTACATTTGTTTATAATAATAGACTGTAGGTAGTAAAATAATGGTACGTAAATAAACATTCTCCTGTCATAATATAAAAATATACATAAGCATAAAGGTATGTGTTACTCGGCTATAAATATTAGTTTGTTTTTAGGTTTAACGTAATCTTTTTTGTCACCGCCCATTGAATTAACTCGTAGGATATCAGCAGCTTTTTTAGCCATGGCGAAAGTAGAAAATGCATCGAAACGGGCTAGTAGTTCGTCCTTCATTGCTATGGTGCTTACGCTTTCTCGTCCGGACGGAGATGGTCGTAGGGCAGCTTCTATTAAGTCCTTGTTTGGAGGTCTGAAAATCTTTGTTGGTGGCAAATCTTCATCAGAATCAACACGTCGAACGGGGACATGTTGTCCAATTGGACTTGGTTCATCAATCTGAGGGAACCGTCGACCATTATAAGGCTTTGCAGTTTCGGGTAAGTTTTGTTTTGGTATCTCCTGATTATCCCCGGGTTTTTGTATTTTTTCGAGTGGTATCATGGGTCTATTTAGCGGCGGTACCGAAGTTGGCTTAACATCCGAGGGTGTGACGTCTTCTGGTACCTGCCAAGGCAATGGAGTGCTATTCTCTCTCTCAACTCCTACTTTGACATCAGTAGAGCTGGTATCTATGTTATTAGCTATTGCGTGTCTTGGGTTATCTATTCCGCCATCTTGATTCAAATTATTAGGTTCATTTTGGGTCAACTGCTCCTCGTCTTCCGGTCCTGATAGACGCTGATGTTTTCGTTTTCGAAGATATCTACGACATTTAGCGATGCAATAAATTGAGCTACATCCACCGTATAACAACACGATTACAGGTAGAACTAAATACATGGCCATGTTGTTTTTATCAGAATAAAACGCAGACACGTCTGCAAAAAACCCTTCATCTACTGGTGGTGCACTTTCTGTTGTTGCTTCTGTAACTTCTAACAAATGACGCTGTCCATGTAAGACATTTTCATCCATTTCAATTATTGGGTCGAATAACGGTACACCTGAAAATATATAATATAAAAAGAACCCGTGTTAATCAACAAATCAGAGCAAATAGTTCATTCCAGATCCATACGAGAATATACGATACAAACAAAAATGGTATTGTCAAAATAAGGCTTATCCGTTAATTAAAGGGCATTAGGTAAGATTAGATAAGGGGCAGACAATTCTCGCTATAATAGATAAAAGGTAGATGATGAAAACAAAATATGCTAAAGTTTTCAGTAGAACTGTGTCACTCTGAACTGAGATTTTAGCCATTGAATTTTAGGCTAGTCTCGGTCGTCATTACTGACGTTGGTATGATAACAAAGTCTCGATTAAATTATCCATCACAAATTATATTCAAATTCAGTAAATATCGCAGGCTAACGATGACATCGAGAGTTGATTTCGGTCTGGATAAGTTAATTAATGTCCAATTAATAACTTAGATAACATTTCAGTCTACTATAGGCAGATTTAGTTCTTGCATAATGCATGTTTAAGTAGAAAATTTCTTAGCTACCTTGCTAGATATACGTATTAGAAGTGGCACCATAAAACGTTTAAATAACTGGTATTTAATTTTAAGATTCGCCTGATTTCTTTTTACAAACTCTGACAGTTATTCAACGGTTCCCACACAATTGGTGTCGGTTGGTAGGATTAAGCCTAATCCAACTTGTGCATGACACCAATTTTAAACATCGAGTGTTTGGTGTTTTTATTCCCAACGCCGTAACCTAGAGGGTTACCCCCATATTCACGTTGCCCAGGTCCGGGTTTTAGTCCAAAATGTGATGTTATACTTGCTACTGAAAGCACACGCAGTTCCATCCCCTATTCCTTATCTAGATAAGGTTGGAAATATTATGCCACAACGTTTGCTGTAAAGGCGTCTTTAATGTACAAAGTAATAAATGACAGACTGGCGTCATGGTTCTAGACTCAAAAACAAGATTATTTGGTCAGTAATTCGATGTCTTTAGAAGTGGCAGTGAATTGAAGGCAACCCTACTCCTTAAATACAAGTGTGGGATCGAGACCACACCAAGTGACTCAATGACAGAACTTATGGTCTAAAGCGCACGCGTTATAAACCTTTCTGCCACCCCATCTCCCTATTATATATTGTGTATTATTATAGTAAAGTTGTTTTGTTTCCCTTTTTTTCTTTCGAAACATTCATGTTATCATACGTGCAGTGAGTACAGACAGAATGGGAATTACGCAATATTACCCGTTTGCATAAAAGTATCATTGTGTTGATTGGAAGTATTATTTATCAACCTTTTTTGCAGGCATGATTGTGTATCGATTTGTAAAGAAATATATATTCTTAGATCACTGTAGAGTTCAATTTCAGTAGCTGATTAAATAACGAGGCGTGCAATCGACAGAGATGAAACCAACAACCATTTTTGAAAAATAATAGGTGAATAGTATATTGTTATGATATGAATGGTTAGGAAAGGGTGTGTAACTGGTAGATTTATCGATATGTATAACATGCCATAAAAGCACTTGCTTAGAAAATCCGTATTTAAATCGAAGTGTGGGTAAAAGCATTTTATTTCTTTAGGTTTCATGATTGATTTCAGATATGGATCTTTCTCTGGCAATTTCGAATACAATTTTGATGACTAGTTTGGTGGTTGACGGACAGGGCCATAGTTTCCGCGGATCTTTAAAGTTAGGGAGGTTTTCACTCCTGACAGACCTTATGTTATCCATTTATCGAACGTTTAATGCGTTATCTTTCAAAAATCCGTCTTCATTAGCCCAGTCGGAGCAGAACAGTAGGACGTTAAACCCCATTTCATTTCTTTCAAAAATACACCGCGAAGCAATTTAACAACATTATACATTCATGCACACTGTTAAAGGAGAAGTCCTAGATATACTTTAGCTAAACTGGTTGATTTAGGGGCGTGGGGGGGGGGGGCGATTGCAAAACCCTGGCCCTGTGTAGATGTAAGGTCTATAAAGCCAATACTATTTCAATTAATCCAACCTTTCTATTTCCACATGGGTTGGACATAGTCCATAAATTCTCCGCGTTCTCCGCGGTATAACCGTGTCTATATACTTGCCGATGTTATTGTGGTATACGATTACCGTTCCGTTTAGTCACTCTAGCCGTCATTTCACAACAGCTAGAAAATTTGATCAGACCAAGACATATTTTGGCATTTGAATAACATTATTGAACCCACTTTTACTATCCTGTGAAATCCAGGACCCCCTCTTTAATTAAGCATATTACGTTAACGTGGTTTGAATAAAACTACAATAGCATTTCCAGATTTTTTTTAAAATTAACATAGAACTGTGTCTTGGTTACTGCGATTTTACAACAAAACAGAAACCTAAACTGAAATACATTAATGACAAAATCGATGCCCCTATACCTTAATTACATTAAAGTGTTGTACAAAATTTCTAAGCATGTCCTTGCACATTTGATGCATGTTTAAGTTGTTTCGTTACCTTGCATACTGATGGTGGTTTTGTATGGTAAAATATCTCTCTCTATATATATAAAAAGATTGGGAGTGATAATACAGAACACAACACACAACAATCCAGACATTGACAATAGTAAATCAGGTAGAATAATTTAAGTGTAATCCCACAGGATCTTTGTCTGTTTGTGTTCTGAATTCAATTAAAGATCTTAGATAAAGGTATATGTCTCACCTTTCACGAATGACGTCAATTGTTTAATATGGATAAAGTGGGACTGTTAACATTTGCTTGTCAATTATTTCAGAAGAAGATAATTAAAGGGGACATGTACCCCGAAATTGTCTACAAGTAAACTCATATTTTGATATGAGGATGTATCTAATAGTAAATGCAGGAGGACCGCACTACACGTAAAACAAAAATCTACAAGATAAACCTTCGGACAAGACAGAAAATAGACATTGCACCAAATAAACAAATATCAAATCAAGTGAATAGATCCGGGGGCCAGCCGTAAGCGTCCACTGCGCTGTACAGTCCCGGGCCTGTAGTGACACAGACTTCACTCAAATTTGAAAACAATCAGTAATACAAAAAAGACGTGACAGAAATAATGCGACCGATCTTGACAGTGGTCGTCTCCTCAACGCTTCAACGTTATGGTAATTTGTCCATTCTACAACCTGAAAGATGAAACTAAAGGCCAAAAACAAAAATACCGATGTTAACGATTACCCGACCTACCCTATTTGTTTTAGCCCAAACATTTCCCAGGTCCAATAGATGGTTCCGGGTAGACATGGATTACCCACAATTCTTTGCGCTGGCGTCATCTTGTATGGCAACTCGCGGTAACCATATGTAGGGCCTACGCTATCTTGTATTTGTGGCTAGATATAATTGTTACGGTCAAATCAATTTTCGTCAAGGTCGCTGAGATGTAAATATAAGGTTAGGGCATGTGATTGTTAGCGAGCTTGTAGTTTAGGTTTAGGGCAAGCGTTAGGATAGGTCCAGGGTTAGGGTTAGGCTTGAGATCAGCGCTAGCCCTGTTTGCATCTTATGACCTTTGACCAAACTTGAAGTTGGCCTTATCAAATAGCTGTATTAGTGCAGGAATCCACGACAGCGCAAAGAATTATGGATAATTCCTGTCTACGCGGAACAATCTAATGGGTATTTATAAGAGTCCAAATCGGCAATATTTTACAGAATCTTGCAGAGTAATTAAGCTAGAAGTGCTAGAAAATGAATATAAAAACACTTTACGGTATTTAAAATCACACGATAAAGGCGGCTACGTACTGTACTTTATTAAAGAGTAATTTATTAGTTCACTTTGTTCTATCCAATCTTAACCCACAAACCCAACATAAAAAAAGAAAGAGATTTTCTGACCGGCCATCCCTATTTTATGTGGCCACGTATCCGTAAAAACAAGTATTTTTTTATTTTGTCCTAACGTGTCTCATTCATTTTAACCATCTAATTGTAATGGCTTATCCAGTATATGTTTTAAATGAATCAATTTTAAAATGAATTATCCTAATTGTTTTAAAAGGAATTTATCCATTTCTTTTAAAGTGAAATGTCCATTGTATAGCTCTTAAAGCGAATTGGGGGGTTGGATGACCGAATGGTCAGCGCGTGCGCGTTGTATCATAAGGTCTGTCACTGAGTCAACTGGCGTGGTTCCGATACCCCGGCTGTACGTGTCAAGGATTATGCTGCCTGTCCAACCTCGTGAGTTTTCTCCGGGTCCTCCAGTTTCCCCCCACTGCTAAAGACCCCTACGCGAATTATTGAAATTAAAAAAACCCCTCTCTCTCTATCTTAAATTGGATTATCGATTGTATAACAAGTGAATTAGCAGTTGCATACAGGCGCGGATTTAAGCCCCCCCCCCCCCCCAATAGACAAAGTAAGCTCCCTCGCGAGACAAAATGAGCTTTGAATGTTTTGGCGACAGCGCCCCCAACCCTCAGTTATGTCATTATATCCCATCACTATCACTGGTGCGTGGGTCGGGGGCAACAGACTATACAAAATGTTCTGTCAACTCTCACAAGGCAGGTCTCGAGATTCAGTCCCATTTCTGATCCTCTTGTCCACATCAATGGACTCAAATGCCAGGAAATTGACTACAATTATCAGACCCAATCCAAAAACTTCTGATCCTCTCGTTCACATCAATGAACTCAAATAGCAGGAAATTGACTACAATTATCAGACCCAATCCAAAATCTTAAAAGCTCAATTACATATTATACGTCGCTATCTGAATGTTCCTCTGTCACTATCATATTCACAGTTGTAGTGAATCGCCCAATTAGTAGTACCACGAATACGAGTGTGATCGGGTGACAAACTGTACAATGTTCTGTCAACTCTCACAAACCAGACATAATTGACAGGCAGGTCTCGAGATTCTGTTCCTTTTCTGTTCCTCTCGTTCACAAGAAAGTGTTACCACCAATGGCCTCAAATTGTTTTACTGTCAATACAGTGACTTATCCAACATAATTGTTTTAAAATACTTATCTATTGT